TGTTATTTTTATCAAAGTAAATGCAAACATGTTAAAGTACTATTTATAAAAAAATTCAATTATATTTTAGTTTTCATAAAATTTATGTTTTTTTTAATGATTTTAGTTAGTTTTAGAAAGTGTGTAATGTGTTTTTACTTATCCATATTTAATTAAGTACATTAAGTTCAATTAACTGTAAACTGTGACTTTATTTTAATGATCTGTTTGTAGAATTTACGTTTCATTGCATCTACGTGCCAACTAATTCTCATTAGATTATAAGTAGACTGTTAGGTTGGGGTTAGTGTAAGTTGACTTGTACTTGCAAAGTTTCTTATAGTCAGTTAAATGTTTGTTGAAGGAACAGTATCAACTATCAAATGGACCATTAAAAACAAAGTGTTAGCTAATATTTTATTCAATTTAATGTTTGGCAAATGTTTTATATATTGTATTAGAGGATATATGAGCAGAAATTAAAAGTATTACACCAGAACAATAAATAAACAAATAAATAATATTATTTTAAATATTTAACGCGTTAAAAGAAATAACGCAAATAATGCAGTTGCAGTTTTTTTTTATTTCCTGTTGTGGCCGACGTGTGTTTAGGGACAGTGGGCAGCAGAATAGTGAGCGAACCCCCCCTTCTTCACTTTCATCCGCTACACCGACCCTCTCCTTCATGGTCCCCACTTTCATCAGCAAAAAGGTCACTTTCTTTTTCACTTTCGGCCTGAAGGCAGCGTGATTGCCGTTTGCCTAAAGCGCCAGTTCAGCTTGCCCCGGCCCTGCACATGTTTGACGTGTAAAGAAAGAAGACCAAGGACGCGCTTTCAGACGGAAAGTTTCAGTATAAAATAAATAAAAATAATTCATTCAGGATGTTTTAATGGAATTTGATACCGCATGGCGAATAGAAAGAAAAAAAAAAAAGTGTGTTTAATTACGCAAATTTTTTTTTATCATTTGACAGCCCTAATATATATATATATATATATATATATATATATATATATATATATATATATATATATATATTTTTTTTTTTTTTTTTTTTATTATTATGTTTATTAGTCAAAAAAACAACAAAGACCCTCCAGTTATTGAAACTTCTGTGACGATTCATATTTTACCGAAGTCACTCATTAATTTTCTTTTTGGCTTAGTCTCTTTATTAATCTGGGGTTGCCACTGCGGAATGAATCGCCAACTTAACTAGCATATGTCTTACTCAGTGGATACCCTTCCAACCGCAACCCAGTACTGGGAAACACCCATACACTCCTATTCATACACATACACTTTGGCAAATTTAGCCTATTCAATGCACCTATAGAACAGGTGTTTGAACTGTGGGGGAAACCGGAGCACCCAGAGGAAACCCACACCAACATGAGGAGAACATGCAAACTCCACACAGAAATGCCAACTGACCTAGCTGAAACTCATACCAGCGACCTTCTTGCTGTGAGGCGATTGTGCTATTTACTGCGCCACTGTGACACCCATTTTAACATCTTCATTCATTATTTTCTTTTCAGTTTAGTCCCTTTATCAATCTGGGGTGGTCACACAGCAGATGATGTTCTTGCAGCCGCAACCCAGTACTGGGAAACACCCATGCACTCTCATTCATTCACACACATACACTACGGACAATATAGCTTACCAACTTCACCCGGAGAAAACCCACGCCAACACGGGGGGAACAAGCAAACTCCACACAGAAATGCCAACTGGCCCAGCCGAGGCTCGAACCTGCAACCTTCTTGCTGTGAGCCGACATCGCTACTCACTGCGACGCCCCTATATAACCGAATTACTTTTAATTATTGATCTTGAACTAGATTACCTAAAACACTATCTACGAATACAAAACGAAAACTGAATCATTTCCTAATGGACAATGATCCCAGATGCATATCTGGCAACTCAAAAACTGCTGCAACTCGCAGCCCAATTGTTAAAAAGAGAGATAAAAACGAATAAATCTACCTGAATTTGAAATCAAAACTAACGAAAAATCAAACTATTATAACCCTGATCTCTTTCAGCTATACTAATTAGACTTAAATATGAAATATTTGTGTTGATGATTGAATGTTTGTGTTGATTTGCGTTGTCTGTTTTGTTCAGTGTATGCAAATGTGGGCATACGGTCCAAGACAAACTTCCCCATTCGGCACGATAGTGTATTGTGTAAGTAAATATAACTACTTTCTGAATGACTCACAGTAGATGTTGAGGTTTCCTTTGGCTGTCTGAGCGCTGACGGGGTTGCTGACAGTACAGGAATATTGTCCAGAGTCTTGTCTGCTGGCCGAGTTGATGAGCAGAGATCCAGAGCTGATGCTGATGTGGGAATCAGAGGATAGAGGAGCTCCTGCTTTCCCCCAAACCACACTGACCTGAGAGCCCGCAGTCCAGCTGCAGCTCACAGACACATTCCCTCCTTCCAGAGGCAGAGACGGCAGAGAGAGACTCACACCGCTCACTGCATCTACACACACAAACACACAGCTGAAGTCAGAATTATTCGCCCTCCTTTTTTAAATATTTCCCAAATGGTGTTTAACGGAGCAAGGAATTTTTCACAGTATTTCTTAATATATTTTTATTTAAAGAGAAAGTCTTACTTGGTTTATTTTAGTTAGTATAAAAGCAGTTTTTAATTTTTAAAAAACATTTTAAAGTCAATATTAGCAATGTCTTTTTTCAGTTATCTAACTTTTGTTATACGTTGACCTTTTACCTTACATTTGCCTAATTACCGTAATTAACTTACACTCACCGGCCACTTTATTAGGTACACCTTACTAGTACCGGGTTCTACCCATCATAACTGCATTAATCCTTCATGACATAGATTCAACAATGTAATGGAAATATTCCTCAAGAGATTTTGCTCCATATTGACATGATAGCATCACACAGTTGCTGCAGATTTGTCGGCTGCACATCCATGATGTCAATCTCCCGTTTCACCACATCCCAAAGGTGCTTGTTGTCTATGTTGTTGTTTTTACCATTAAAAACTAGTATTTTTAAATGGTTATGGTTAAAATAGGGTAATTTTAATAGTTTAATAAAATTTATTCAACTTTTGGAAAGTGACGCCGTCATTGTCCCGCAAACCCCCAGGGGGGTCCCGACCCCCACTTGGGGAACCACTGTTCTAGTCAGTCCTGTGGGCATACGTAGAATCATATTGTCATAACAGGCAGAAAGACTACTACTGTTATTAATTAACAAACTATTCTTTTTAGTCAGCATTGTGGGCATATGTGGCATTAAACTTCCATAACTGGTGTAAATACAACTACTATTATTAATCAGCCATTATTTAAAGTCACTTTAGTGTGCATATGTGGCATTATACGTTCATAACAGGCTTAAATACAACTACTATTATTAATCAGCCATTATTTAAAGTCACTTTAGTGTGCATATGTGGCATTATACTTCCATAACTGGTGTAAATACAACTACTATTATTAATCAGCCATTATTTAGTCACTTTACTGTGCATATGTAGCATTATACGTTCATAACAGGTTTAAATACAACTACTATTATTAATCAGCCATTATTTAGTCACTTTAGTGTGCATATGTGGCATTATACGTTCATAACAGGCTTAAATACAACTACTATTATTAATCAGCCATTATTTAAAGTCACTTTAGTGTGCATATGTGGCATTAAACTTCCATAACTGGTGTAAATACAACTACTATTATTAATCAGCCATTATTTAGTCACTTTACTGTGCATATGTAGCATTATACTTTCATAACTGGTGTAAATACAACTACTATTATTAATCAGCCATTATTTAAAGTCACTTTAGTGTGCATATGTGGCATTATACGTTCATAACAGGCTTAAATACAACTACTATTATTAATCAGCCATTATTTAAAGTCACTTTAGTGTGCATATGTGGCATTATACTTCCATAACTGGTGTAAATACAACTACTATTATTAATCAGCCATTATTTAAAGTCACTTTAATGTGCATATGTGGCATTATACTTTCATAACTAGTGTAAATACAACAACTATTATTAATCAGCCATCTATTCTAGTCAGTATTTATGTGCATATGTACTGTAGCGTCATACCGAACACCTTGAGCTGCACTGAACACGTGTTCACACTGAGTCCAGAGGTAGACGAGGGTTCGACAGAGACGCTGTAGTTTCCAGAGTCGCTGATCTGGCAGCTGCTGATGGTGAACTGGGTGGCAGATATTGTGATCCTGCCCTGGAACTGCTGAACCGGCATCAGGACGGGCCCACCGTTCACCCACATGGCCAGTGTAGTGGCTGCGCTGTCCGTCCATCTGATGAGGGGCACATTTGGCACAGTCTGCACCTCAAACACTGCAGTCGCTCTGGAAGCCACCAGCAATGGAGACGTCGAACACTGAACAGGAACAGGGCTCAGACATACAACTGCCAATGGAAAACCTGTGGAGATTTAGAAGTGCAGTATGTTAAAGCTGTAAAAATCCTAATTTAAAGCTTTTTAAACTAATTTTAATCCTTAATTTAAATTAACATCAAGCATTTTAGTATCAGTCAAGGATATCTATAGGCTTGTGTTGAAAAAGTCTCAGCAACTTCTGGTTCATGCTGACTTTAGCATATCCTGAAACTGTGGTTGGATCTTGAAACTGTGTGTTTACTTGAATGTCCTACATACTTTTTTTTATCTGATGCCATTTAAAAAATGCTTGATCTTTTCTACATAATGTGTGCTCCATAATAATAACCCGTTCTACAACAAGACACAACAAAGAAAGGAATGATGATGCTTGCAGAAGAAAAAAAATAACAATGCATTAATGCACTGTATATGAAGACACAAGCAAATAACATACGTCAAAGAGCTTAAAATAACATCATAACAAAAGCGCAGAATGCCGTGAAACTAGCAGGTGAACACAAAGGTGTGTCACAAAGGTGTGTCAAAAATGCATACATGCACGCAAAGCTTGAAAAAATACATGTCTGTAAAACACTCCTTTGTCTACCACATCAGTGTCTTCTAAAATCAAAATCGGAAGCAGAATAAAACAGTCTCCTCATAAAAGCTGGCGTATCAGTGCGCTGCAACATTGAAAACATATGATTCGATTCGCGGCTTCTGATTGGTTCTCGGGATATAGCGGCTTTTGCTGTCAAAGGTGAGTGGCGTTTAGAGGCTTTTGCAAACATATTGTTATTTCTGAATGCGCTGACACTGCGATTTAAATGATTAGAAGCAAAAATATTTGTTGATGGAGTACTACATGCCTAAAGCATTCACTCAATGTCATAAACGATTTTTTGCCAGAAATGGCATTTAGCGGCTTTTGCGTCTGAACTCTACCAAAGAGCTTAGAATGACTAAGAGGCGACACTCTAGTGTAATTTGTAAAACAGCCACTAGAGGGCGATTTTGAAATGAAAACTCCAATAGAACAACAGCATATTATAAGTCTGTAAAATAAACTATTAAAAGTGCTGATGATTGTGATAATAAGTGTTGTATTGTCGTCTTTTAGGTTGTATCTCAGCTTTAATGCACTTTTTAAATAAATAAATAAAAAACAAAGCAGCTGCTTGCCATCGCGACAGTAATGAGATCCAAAGGACGGCTGATCACTTTCACTCCAAAATGGCGGAATCCAGGGCTGTTGCTGGGCGCTGCTGTTGCAATGGAACGTTCTATTGAGTGTCGCCTCTTGGTCATTCTAAGCTCTTTGACTCTACATAAATACACATTTATACATACATGTTTTTTAAGGAAACTTTTTCTGTTGATCAAGGCAGCATTTAATAAATGCTAAAAAAATATTTAATTGTTAAATATTTATAAAAATTGTAATAAATTTCATTCTTTGCTTTCATATTGTATGTAGTTTCAAATGAAATGATTACTCCAGTCATTATTGCTTTTATTACTATTGCCATAAATAATAATAATAATAATAATAATAATAATAATAATAATGACAATAATTAACATTAGTGATTTCTGAAGGATCATGTGACTCTCATGATCATGTGAAACTGGAGTATTCAAGCTTAAAATTAATCTTTAAATTACTCGAATAGTTTATTAAATTTATTTATAAACTATTTTGAAAAGTTATTTTATACTGCAATAACATTTGACAATTTTACAATGTGTACTACATTTTTGTTTAAATAAATGCAGCCTTGGTGAGCAGAAGAAGCTTATTTTAGATTAGAACATTTAAAAACCCAACTGACCCCAAACTTTTGACCGGTAGTGTACATACTACAGGTCAAAAGTTTGGGGTCAGTAGGATTTTTAGGTAAAATATTGCAATATCAGATTTTTCCTAATGTACAATATGTTTATTTAGGTACAAACTCCACATAGATGTCATTAAAATCTGACTATAAACTGAATCTGAGCTGTAAAGTGCTCCCCAAATGAAGTGTTACTTTTGTTGCATAATTTACTATTAGATGCACTAAGTTACTGAGGTAAAGTTGGTTTTATATTCACACTCTCTCCTCAGTAATATGTCACTAAATTATTTTTATAATATAATTATATTAATTATATTTATTATTATATTATTTGCAAACTCTAAATAATGAAACCATAGCAGGCGATGACCATCAAAGTACAACATTGTTCAGTCAAATACATAGTGCTTATGTTGGTTTGAAGTCATACTCAGATGTGATTTCAGACCAAATATACAAAGCACCATGGTAAACAACACAGGGAGCATGTCACATGTTATCACTGAATGAATGTGTGACTATAAAACCAACTTTACCTCAATACATTCGCTTGTGCGTCTTCAGCAAAATCACATTAAGTTTGGGAAACTTACTTGTCAAAGACAAAACTACAAAAGGATGAAGAAGTGCGTTCATGTCAGTCTGGAGGGCCTGAAAAAAAACAAAATTAGTTTCCAGATGCTTCACTTTACCACATATTACAGCTTATAATTCATGATACGAGACATTCTGTCAACATAAACGATACTGGCATCAATCACTGTCTCATAGACTGTATTAGCGACGTGTTAAAACACAACGACAGAGCTTATACGGTCATTACAGTATTAAAATGTGAAGTTATATGCACTCACTATGCGGTTTTCTCCTGGTTTTCATTTTCCTGTCATATATATCCGCGTTTGGTTTCACTACACGCTTTTTGTTTTAGCCAGACTGGTTTTACCTGTCAGTAGACGACGCCTCGGGTCCTCAAGTCTCACCGCAATGCAAAATAAAAGTCCGGGTTGCTTTATAAAAAAATAAAACGGTATCCTGATCAACTTAACAAAAAAGTAATCCCAAAAAATTATGCAAATTTTTGTATAAACCTCATGTTTATTGGAAAGTTGTACACCCATAAATGTACATATTCTAAATGTTTTCAAACAAGAACTGAAATAGGAAATACCATTACTACAGCTTTCTAGCCTAACAAGAGTGATGCTTAAAATGGAATTTGTGCTTTAATATGCATTAATATTTATTTCCTTTTTATTAATGCTCTTTTGTTTTCTTCCCCACTTTGTTTTACAGCTTAAATTTAATTATTAATCCCTTATTATTGGGGAAAAAAAAAAAAAAAAATATATATATATATATATATATATATATATATATATATATATATATATATATATATATATATATATATAGACTGTATAGACAATGCTATTTTTTATTTGTATATACTGCAACTTTTGTTGTCATTGCTGTAATAAATTTGTTTCAAATCATAATGCGCGTCCACCTAATGTAGCGCGGTAGATTAAAGCCCCTTGTGTGTGTGTGTGTCTCTCTGTGTGTGTTCAATGGTTTGTTATGTTTTATTTTTGAGGGTCAAAATCAAATGAAAAGGCACTTAAAAATTACCTGGCTGTCATAACTATTCACATTTTATATTCACAACCTGCTATTTTGGTGTTTACTATGTAATTATGACTGTATATTGTTGTTTATTTATGTTTTTCTGTATAGATTGTCTTTTGTTTCTTTTTTTGAAATTTCAAATTTGCTATATTAATACAAAATTTGAATTAATTATTATAGAAATGTTTTCTTTTGTATACATGAGGGCCCCATTTTGGTGCTAGATCAGATATTGTTGTGGCCCAAAAGTTTAACATTATTTAATTTATTAAATTTCCCATTAATTGTATTTTATTAACATCTACCCAACCCAAACCGTTACAGTAATGTAAAAACAGTAGTTGTACCGATTAGTATTTGTTTTGTTTTGTTTTTTGTTTTTTTTTTATACCCAATAAATTGCATTGTATAACGTCTACCCCTGCCCCAACCCTACACCTAACCGTCATAGTACTGTAAAATATTAATTATTGTTTTACAGTGTCACAAAAATGATGGTGACGTACGTATGCGCAGCTGTATCCTATCAAGACTTTACCTCAATTTTCGACTCCACCCCTGAGCACTGGCACAGGTAGCGCGAAATGCTTAGTGTTGCAGCCGTACAGTGGTTTAAATGGAGTTTAACTGCTGAACGACGGAAACATCTCGTGTTTGTTTTGCCGATGTCTCGCAGGCTAATAGTAGCGAAAGTCGGTAAACAGTGAGTTTAAACTTCAGGACTCGAGGTAAAATGGTTTATTTGAACAATATGGCCATTATTGTATCCTAAGTTATCGAAGTAGCAGTCAGTAGGCTATTATTTGACCGTGTGTTTTTAGTTAGCGAGTTAATTAGAAGGCAGCTTTTCTAATCTCTTATCTGTAATTTTGGCAGGTGATGGGCTCACTGATGCTGGTCTGGACTCTGTCTGCCGCAGTTATTCTGAGTGAGTTTAATGTTATTCAGGGGAAATCTGAAACCTGCTTTACCAGCTGACGTTTGAGACTCTACTTTCCAGAGAATCTACATTGTTATATAACTAAACATGAATTGAACTGAATAAAAAACAAATAGCTAGTCTCATCAAATGCATTTTTAGCAGCAAAACATAAAACTGTATGCATTTGGGCATTGTAGCGATGTAGAAAAAATATAAAAACAAACGATCCAGATTAAATGCTATGTGTAAAGCATTTAGTGTTTTATTAATGTAATCAATATTTTCAAACGGGATTATGAAGTTTGAACATATCAGCTTGTTATTATTATTAGGCTCATATTATATACAGGCCTTTTGGAGTGACTAAATCATCCTCAAAACCACGTTAAGATGCTTCTGTTTAAGCACTAATTTCAAAGTAATAATAATGCTGTAATAAATGGGATCACTGTTTTACTACCGATTGATTTACGGAACAGTTCTTGTCAGCCAAAACAGTCTGAACATCTGTTGTTCTTATTTTAGAGACTAAATTACATTTATTAATATGGCAAGTTTTTTATTTTTCATGGCAAGTTTATTTATATAGCACATTTCATACACAGTGGCAATTCAAAGTCCTTTACATAAACAAGAATAAAAGAAACAAGTAAAAAATAAAATAAATAAAAACAAAAAATAAAACTGATTAAAAAACATAAAAACAGGTAAAATGTGATGTAAAAGAATGAAGAAGAAGAGAAAAACATAATAGTGCGATCTGTCGGACGCAGCACAGTGCTCATACAGTAAAGGCACAGCTAAACAGATGTGTTTTCAGTCTTGATTTGAATGTGCCTAATGTTGGAGCACATCTGATCATTTCTGGAAGCTGATTCCAGCAGCGGGGGGCATAGTGGCTGAAGGCAGATTCACCCTGCTTTGACTGAACTCTTGGAACTTTTAGTTTATATGATCCTAAAGATCTGAGTGATCTGTTGGGTTTGTATTCAGTGAGCATATCTGTAATGTATTGAGGTCCTAGGCCATTTAGTGATTTATAGATTTATAGACCGATTATAGAATATAATTGTTTTTAAAATCTAAATGGCTTCAGATTAGCTCTAACAAAATAAATGTATAATTTAAGTTATAATATTTAAATTAAATTAAAGATAAACTGTAATATGTGGATGTATATTAGAGTGAAAATAAACCGTGAAAAAACTAAAACCGCTCCTGTTTTTTTTTTTTTTAAATAAACCCACCAAACCAGGGGTGGCCAACCCTGTTCTTGGAGAGCCACCTTCCTGCAGATTTCAGTCGCAACTCATATCAAACACACCTGAACCAATTAATTAGGACCTGAACACCACGTGATAATTACAGGCAGGTGTATTTGATATGGGTTGCAACTGAACAATGCAGGAAGGTAGATCTCCAGGAACAGGGTTGGCCACCCCTGCACTAAACAGACAGATAAAAATGTAGTAGCAACACAAATGCACACCCTGAGCAGTGCACACTATATGCACACTATGTTTGTTTAACAAAGAAAGACAGGTGCATTATGATACGACTGAGATGGAAAACACAGACAGACTGATAAAAGGAGGAATGTGTCCGTTCAGGTACAGACAGGGCTTGACATTAGCCCCTCCAAATGCAGGTAGATTTCAGCTGTGGCGTGTTATACAGCCGCTTTCACTAGCCATTTTGGCTGGTTGAAAATAATTTTTGAATTGACAGGTGGTAATTATGTGTGTAACTTATCTTTATTCATTTACTGTATAAGGGTGTCACGATCCTCGAAATCCTCGATTCGATTACATTTTCGATTCTAAAGGCACGATTCGATTTGATTATGAATAATTAATTAATTAATGACCAATTAATTATTTGTAGCCTACTGTTTAAACTACCTGACCTGCATGGTCTTTGTTTTCCCATAAACAAATCATACAGTAAATGAATAAAGGCAAGATACACACATAATTACCACCCGTCAATCACTTTTTCTGCGGGACTGGTGAATAGGCAGTGATCTGTGTCCTTATAATGGCGTCGGTAAAAAAGACCCACAACCAACAGGAACCAGCCAACAGTATCTGAGGTGTTCGCTAAAATGACTAAGTACAAGTGAGTGAAAGATTGAAGCAGTCTACTGATCCTCTGACTGCCTGAATCTGCTGTCTCGAGCGCATGGCTGTGTGCGTCTGTGTCTGTGCGGTCACGTGATGTGCATTTTCAGAGGTAGAGGAAGGAGGGCTGCTCAGAAATGCTATACGCCACTGTGGATGTCAAATCGTTTTTGTTCTAAAATGCCATTTAAAAACAAAGACAGTGTAAACAGGGCCTGAGTGTGAACTTTTCGCGAGCGGATTTGCAACAGGGGCGGGCGGAGGATCACGATGCCGGTGTTGTCTATTGGACGAACCGTACGTAATACGTACATAGCAGAGCTTGCAAAACTGTTTTTTTTTTTGTCGACAACACAAACGTTGTCAACATAACTCACTGGAAATCCAAAATGCTTACACACCGGCGACCTCATTAAAAGAGGAGAGGGTTTAAGTTCTGTCGACGGGTCTCCTGCTTCAGCAGTTTAACAAGCACTTCAACAAGCCTGTTTTTTTCCCGCTTGGCAAGCCAAGCTGACGTGACATGGGGGCGTGGCAGCATCGACGATTCTATTTTTTGATTCGATAATTGAAATTGAGCATAAATTTCGATCGATTTCGATAAAAAAAATCAAAATTGTGACACCCCTAATACTGTATGATCTGTTTATGGGTAAAACAAAGACCATGCGGGTCAGGTAGTTAAAACGGTAGGCTACAAATTATTAATTCGTTATTAATTAATTATTCATAATTAATTAATCGCCTCCTATAACGACGATGCCATCGTCCGTCGCGATGTTTCATATTACACATCATACAACGCCAAATTGGTCGACATCGCACAACCCTAGCCCAGATGTGGCCTCAATATGGCACTGCTAGCGTGTTGCCGGCACTGGCATACATAATGTCAGCTGAATGTGGGCCATGCATGACAATGATGGCACTGCATGCATGACGGCAAACTACGTTTGGGCCAGTTGTGGATGGAAGGTGTGTGGCCAGATCAGTGTAGTGATTGTTCACATTGTTTAGGTAACATTATGCTGGGTTGTAGCTCAGTTTTTGGGGTTTCTGCCTAAAGTTTAAACATATAGCTGAGAATCAGTACCAATAATAAACCTGTTTTGGCCCACTTCAGGGCCAGTTAAGGGTGATACACTGGCTGAGATTTAAGCCGGTTGTGGCCCATGTGTGGCCCTTGTCTTCAATCCAGGTATGAGCCACTTCAGTACTGTCATTCTTTGCGGTACTTGGGCTGAGGGAAAAGTTATTGTGTGGTCCGGAGTTGGGCCAGAAAACATTTGCTATGTGGGATGCACATGTGATCTTAGAATCCAGAAGCAGCACGACTGACAAAAATAACTGTTTGTGCCAGCAAAAGAAATCAGGTGAATACCGAATGAGATCAGGTGCACGGTGAGACACAGGTGATTCTCACTTACGGACGAGGGCTTTAGTGTCACGCTCACAGCTGGTGTCATTTGCACAAGTTTTTAAAAAGCTTGCGCACTCCTCTTTCTTTGCATGAAGCAACCGTTCCTGGAAACGCAACTGGTGTGATCGGTTCTCTTTGAAGTAGACGGGAAAAAAAGTTATGCTTTCCAGAGCTCAAGATTTTTTTTGTAAGGAGCAGCAGTTGCTGCTTTCGCTTTAACCATTTTTTTGAACAGATTATTAATGGGCCTAACATTAACCATGTGCGCGCAATTATCCTTTCGTTATCACACACAGAATGTTTTTTCAGTAGCTTTCTTTTGCTTCATTTTTGATAATATATTTTAATTATCATCCTTTACAGTAACACTGCTTCAATAGGAGATTCCCTGTCCTTTTTTGTATAGTGAACTGGTGAAACATCAACAAAATTGTGGCTAGTGAAAATGACGAGTGGCTAGTAATGTTGGAAAACTACTAGCCACAGTGGCTGGTGATCAAAAAAGTTAATGTCAAACCCGGGGTACAGACATAGTAACTAGGAATAATAAACGCCAGAAAACAGTCAAACTACTCGCTTTACAAACAAGTGTGTTCATACAGACAAAGCAGACTCGTATAATAAGAAATACCAGTTTTCAACATCAAGCAGCATAATGAGCTGTTTTTAACATCTAAAAATGAATGGAGGTGAATGAGACTGGAAGTTTCGAACCAAAAAAATTCAAATGGCTGTGCCCGCTCAGTTGCAAAGAACAAGGTGAAAATTCAGAATAATTAGTTATGGAAACATAGTTACATAATAATACACGGATCAGCTGTACAGGAATATATTTCAATGAAAAATAGAAATCAAGAAGTCAGTTTATCTCTATAAACTAAAGATTATTAATTTAAAAACATCTTAAATGTGTACACCCCCCAAAAAACAGTGCATAAGAGTTAAAGGTGCAGTATGCAAGTTTGACACCCAGTGGTTAAACTAGGTATTGCACTCCTGGATCAAAACACATTTTCACTCCACCTCACTATCAAGCCTAAAGGCTGATTTAAGGCTGATTTTAAACAGTTGTTTTTTTTACTAAAAGCAACGGCACGTGATATAAGAAACATGTTCTATACTAAAAGGAGTTTTTGTCCTGACCAACACCTTTTATATTTAAATGTATATTTTAGAAATGGCTTCTATTTCTCACAGGTGAACAACTGGATAAACTATGATCACCTCAGGTGCACCGCATGTGTCAGGGTTCTGCCACTTTGGTCTTGTAAATTCTTGTTTTGGTGGCAGAGCTCTGACACTACTCCATGTCTGGTCCTGTTTCTTTCTCTGTGTGCGCGCGCCATCGTGGGTGTACGCAGAGTGTGCGCGCTGCCACTTGATGTGGCCGTGCACGCTCTGCGTCCCTCAGACGCGCGCGCTCTTGTACTAGTGTTTGTGTTTGTTCTGTCAGCAGCGCGCTGCTTTATTCTCGGCGCCTCCGTCTAGTTGGTTTCAGTTTTGGTTGGCGCTGAGATGAAGCATGTGCGTTGCTTATGTGTGAGCGCACGGTAAGGTTTTATCTATCGTGTGCTCGTGTCTTGCGTATCTTGTCAAAGCACGTGGCTTGGTGTTTACATTGTGGTCACGTGCTTTTGTCGTGTGCTTCAGTGTTGTGTTTGTTGTCATGAACATGCGGTTAATGAGTTCTCTCATTGGCTGCATGTTCTTGTTGTGTTATGTGAGCGCATGGCTTGTATTGTCTTTCTGTGTCATGCGCTCTCCCGTCTATTGTCTTGTCCCACCCTCCTTGTTAACCCATTATTAGTTAATTGTGTTCACCTGTTTGTGTGTTAATTTTCTACAGTTTATATACCCCTCACTTTTGCTGTCCTGTGCCAGTTCGTCATCACATGTTGTTGTTTAAACCTTTGTCTTGTCATGTTTCCAGTTATCATCATCGTTGCCAGCCGGCCCAGTCCTGTTTGTATGTATTTGTTTTGTTAATGTTTTCCCCCTCGGGGTAGTTTATTTTGCATTTTATTTTATTTTTATTTATTTTATTTTCCCATTTTTCCTGCACTTGAGTCCTCGCTCCTTTTTCCCCATTTCCCATTCACTCCCCTGACAGCATGTGCTTTATTCAGTGTTAAATGCTAATAATGTGAGTTTAAATACCATTTAGCATGACATTTATTGCCATACTACTGAAAGCAGCAGCAGATAGTTCACCTCAGATCTGTAAAATAAAATAAACTGTTTGAAATTTAACTTCAGAACTGTGCAAGCCAACACATATCCGTGATTCAGCATCTAATCTACATTTAATAATGTTCAAGAGGTTTAATATGTATTAATTAGATTATCAACCTTACCATTTCGCTGGAGTCCAGTGAGTGCACTATTCTGTGCTTCTGAATGGCTGTATTTACATTTATGTTGTGTTTCGTCTGGTGCAAATAGCCAAATTGCTTATCACTGCAAATCTCGATAAATAGAGTGTTGCTAGGACTCGTGGTCACAATGTAACCCGCTCACCTAATGTGTACATTTGTAATATTAATATAATTTGCTAAATAATAACCACCTCATGTTAAACTCTGAATCTGCGTCTCATTTTGGAGTCTGCTACTGTCCAATGGAGGTCACATTTCGGTCACGGACACATTCTCAGAGGGCCCTCATGACTGAATGAATGAAATACACGCTTTTCCACCAAGGCAACCCGGGGTGCTGAAATATAATTGGCTAAACTGTAGGGATGTAACGGTATCAGAATTTCACGGTACGGTAATACCTCGGTATGAATGTCACGATACGGTATTTATTGAATCATTTACAGGAAAAAAGAAAACTTATGAAAATACTCCAAAAAAGTGCCAAAAGTGTCAATGACATACAAATTAGCCATCTATCTGTAAGCTTTGAAACAGGAACTTCAATTTTAATAACAAAAAAATATTAAACCATGTAAAAAAATAAAGTTTCAATTTAGTATTGTTGAAAACTCATCTCATTCAACATTTAATCACTCACTCACTTAGATAGAGATGGGTTTAAAGGAAAATTATCATATAAATATAATCTGGTAAAAGCTGGTATCTCTGGGCATTTACAATGTCCCCTGCAACAGAAAAAAACCCTCTCATTTGGGACTGAGGTTTCTGGGACAAGAGGGATATGACTTGGCCCAGGTTGACAGCAGTGGGTAACGTTGTGCATTGTCTTTCCCCCACTTGAGAGGACAAACCATGAGTAAAATAGAGGTCTCATGTCTGCATCAATCTGAACAGTGTGCTGACAACACTGCTATTCAGTACGCGCGCGACAACACAGCTGATAAGAACTCGCGCGACAACATCGCTATTCAGTACGCGCGCGACAACACAGCTGATAAGAACTCGCGCGACAACACAGCTGATAAGAACTCGCGCGACAACACCGCTATTCAGAACGCGCGCGACAACACCGCTATTCAGTACGCGCGCGGCGTTTTCCAGCTCTTTTTTTATCCCCGCTTCTAGCAGCACATTCCATTTCCGCATTACTGGATCTGTAGTGACAACAGACCGCAAGGGATGATGGTCAAGCATGGGCTGATGGGAATTGTAGTTTTCGCTACCTCCCGTTCGCTTCATTCGCCTGAGCAAATTTTCTCAGAAGACCTATAGTTTTACCGAGTCATGCGACTACGGTAATATCGAAAAAAATTAATATTGCGGTATGACGGTATTTACAATACCGTTACATCCCTACTAAACTGGCATTGGGCGGGTTAAAGAGACAAAAACAAAGACAGCTCAGACAGACGTAAGTTGAGCTGCTGGCCTCACTAACACCACTCCCAATAGCAACCTAGTTTTCTCATGTGGTCTCCCATCCAGGTATTGACCAGGATCAGCCCTGCTTAGCTTCAGTGAGTAAACGGTATAGGGATGCAGGGTGATATGGCTGTTGCACCATAAAATAGAGAAGTGATCTGGATACAGAAAATATATCAAAATTAAATAAATAAATACACTGTATTCACTTAAAATTGTAAAATTGTAAGGCAACTTGCTGCAGCACTTTTTTGTTGTTGAATCATCTTAAATCAAGTCAAGTGCAGTACTTGGGTTAAAAGTTGAGTCGGTTCAAAAAAAGCTGTGCAGCAGGTTTCCTTACAATTTTAATTTGAGTTAACTTTTTTACAATGTGCAGATACTGTAGTTAAATATTAGAATGCATTTCCCAAAAGGTCTTATGAGTATATAATATATAACTACATAAGTTTACATGATTTTCGCCAATCTTCGACTCAGTGATCGAATGAATTCTAAATCATTCTGATTATTTAAAATACTTTTTAAAATGGCAATTTTATCAGTACAGAAAATGTAAAAATAAAAAAAAAAACATTTATTTTAAAAAGCTAATTATATATTAGAATACATTTTCAAAGTGACTTATGAATTTTTAATACATAACTATTTTACAAGCTTGCATTATATTCAGCAACTCGAATGTATTTCTATAAACCTGTGATTATTAAAAATACGTTACAAATATGGACTTTCCCAGTACAGAAAATAGCAAAGGAAAATAAAAAAATGGCTTAATTTTTTAACACTAAACAAAAAGTTAACACCTTACAAAAAAAAGTTTACACTACTTTTCACATATTGCTACTTATGAACTTGTATTACATTTTAAAAATCTGCATTGTTTTTGCCAATCCTTGACACAGTAATTAAATATGTGATTGATACTACTTGAAAAATAAATATTCTCTCAGTATGGGAAATATAATAAGGACAATAAAAATTCTGCTGAATAATTTTTTTAAAAGATACTCGTTTACTCTGTTTTCCAATTATTTCTGAGTTAATTTTAGTGATAAAACTAATTTCTAAATCACTCTGAGATCATGGGAAATATGATGCCATTATTGCACTTTCAGGACATTTATTACATGCAGTTTTTGTCATGTGCAGTTATTGCATGAATCTTTCATTAAAAATTATGAAACCTTTTGTGTATAACAACTCTAATCGCATGCTAACTCTTCATATCAGCTAACATATTAATAATAACCTACTAATTCTTTTATAAGCATCATTTATGCAGTTATTGCATGTGTTTTTCATTGCAAATTATAAAAATGTTTGAATCTTCATTGCTAAAAATGTAAATGCTGTACTCACATGCTAACTCTTCATGTCAGCCAACATACTAATAATAACCTACTAATTGTTGTTCATAATCATCATGTTTTTTAACCATCATCAGTGCCTACGTTTCTTAATGGAGCAATTTCCATACACTTCAAGACTGGACGACTTCTTCACGTTGCTCTTGGGCAAACTCTTGTTTTGGAGGCCGTAATTGAAAAAAATCCAGACGACAAGATTGACATGGTGACTTGGGATCGTGAAAGCAAAGGTGTAAACGTCAGACTATCCGGGACTCAAGGAGGCCGAATATCTTTGGAGAAAGGAGATGCGCTTCTGCGGATCACTAATGTTTCTGAGGAAGACTTTGGTGTCTATAAAGTCACTGTTACTGACAGTAATGGATACCAGCAGTATGACATCATAGAAGTCCGGAAGATAGGTAAATGTGGTTTCAGACTATGCAAATGTTGTTCAATGAAAGACCTGTGCTGTTGTTCTTTTAAATATCTTTGCACGCTCACCCAGGGCTGGGTCGATCACTTATTTAAAATAAACTTGAGTTATTTATTTTTTTGATAACTTGTGAATGTAATCTGGATTACGGGGTCAAAAGACAAACTGTTAAAGCTCTTGATATAAAATTAATATATTTTTTCTTTGTACATGTCAAAATAGTACATTATCCAACCTAAACACACTCAAAAATGACTTGCTGTTTGTTCAAACTAATGGTGTAGAATTAGTTAAAACTACGCAAAGAGCCCATATTATGCATTAAAAAGGGTCATATAAAGGTCGCCACACAGGAATGAACCACCTGTTCAAGCATATGTTTTACGCAGTGGATTAGTTTATTTAATTCCCCTATAGCCCATGCGTTTAGAAAACTTCCATTCCCTCACCTAAAGTCTGTATCTACCTATAATATATATAAGATGCAGGCTGTAGCTAGGCAGGTGGCAGGCTGCAGATAGGTAGCTAAGTGGCAGGTAGGGGCGGGAACAGCTTACCTTGGTTCTGGCCGGCGCAAGTTCCCGCCCGTCACAGCGTCTAACAAAGGGGCGGGGTGCGTGGTGACGTCACCGGCATCCCCGCCCCTTTGTTTACACGGCGGGCGGGGGAATGCCAGTGACCGCTGTGTACGGATAAAATCAGCGGAGCGGGGAGCGCTCTCTCTCCCCGCTCCGCTGATTCTGTCAGTGTACAGCGGTCGGCGCGGGCCACAACATATTGCACTGAGGGCCGCAAATGGCCCGCGGGCCGCAAGTTTGAGACCCCTGGTTTAGACTGTGGGAGAAACCGGAGCTCCCAAAGGAAACCCATGCCAACACAGAGAGAACATGCAAACTCCACACTGAAATGCCAACTGAACCAGCCAGGACTAGAACCAGTGACCTTGCGATGAGGCAACAGTGCTAACCACTGAGCCACCATGCCGCCCCTAGGTTTTATAGATTATGTAGTTTTAACAAATTTTAATTCGTTTGAACAAACGGCAACAGTAATAGTTTGAGTGTATATTAAAGTAAAAAGTAGTTTACTCTAATTACTTTATTTTTGGGATCCGATTACACATTCCAGATTAAATATAATTCATTACTGCCCAGCTCTGCTATAATTAAGTTCAAAGAAATGTTTATCGTGACAATCAGCTTGTTGAACAGGTTTATTCTTTATGTTCATGCAGTGAAGCCTCCGAGGGCGTTGGCCAAACGGGTGCTGGAATGTGTTTTGGAAAAACACGACATGCTGCAGTGGGACACCCCCCAATTCTCGTGGATGATTGATGGCATTACAGTAACCAATGAAACCACCCTGATAGCCAATGGTAGTAGACTTGATATCTCAGAGGTCAAGGGTGTGAACTACACCTGCGTCATTAAGAGCAGTCTAGGAACGGTGATGACGCATTATGAAATACCAAAAGGTAAGGATGTCATTTTTGAATAGTCATTTTCACCCCAAAATATTTGCCACACAATGCCAAATTATTAGTTACCCCTGTTAATTAACTGAAATTAACTCACAATTAGCAATTAATTTGTTCAATAATATAGACCTGATTATTCGCGTTCCATTAAATAATATTAAATCAGGGTGTCCGCGGGGTTATAAAAGGTATTAAAAGCCAATTATGAGAAAATTAAAGCCCTTAAAAGGTATTAAAAAGTCTTAAATGGGTTTTTTCGAGGGCTTAAATTTTGTTCAAGCATTGTCCAAAGTGTTTGACTCCAAAAAAGCATAAATATATGTATTTTTCTCCTAATATACAACAGCGTGCTCGATCCACACAATTGGTTCGGGCTGGGGCGCATCCAGCCCAGCTCCTCCGTCGGGGTGATATCACGTAATTTGTGACAAACGTGGGAAGGTGATGTGACTCTCTTCACATGTAGCGAAACCATAGAGCGAAACAGTCGGCAAAATGGGAAAATAAAAGTTTACATACTCCTGGTTGGAGAAAGACGAGTTTAAACCGTGGCTAAAGCCTGTCACTGAAAATAACCATTTATTTTGTTCTTTCAAGCTTTGTTAACAAACTTTATTAGCAACGGTTTATTAAGTTAAAGGTTTGATACTGATTAGAACTCGAAGTGGCGATGAGGTCTTAAAATATTCCTAGAAGGTCTTTAAAAAGTCTTAAAAAGGTATTATACCCTGTAAATGATTCATCTTTTGATATTAATTGTTACTTAAGTTTCAGATAATAACATTGTCAAAAAAAAGCATACACAAATTTGTTTCATATTGAAAAGGTGTTGGCCAATTATTCTAAAACGATCTGTATTCAAAATATGCATTGTTTCAACTCATTTTATGCATAAACTCTTTTGTTACATTTTGTGTTAATAATAATAATAAGTTTCTTTGGTTCTTCTGTGTTTTCTCCTACCCTCTATCACCACTTATATTTCAAATGTGTACTTCATAAGTTAAAAAATATGTATGTAGTATCCGTGATGTCACCTATATAGTTTTCTGAGGAGCACAAATGAAGCAACAAGTGGGCGTGGCCAACCTTCGCCATTTTGTTCACGTGTCATAGCGCCAACCGGGGGTTACGGAAAAAGGGCAAAGAGGTGGAGCGTGAGCTATATTTTGCTTAAACAGGTTTTCTTAAGGAGAACGCTAAATACTTCATAACCTGCGACTCGTTTGTGTTCTGACCACTTGTGCTTGGCTTTACACTATATCAATAAAGTGTTTGGACTTTTAAAAACACTGCTGTAACACATTGAGCCACTAAGCATTGTTCTTATGATGTTTTTCTACAGGCTAACTACTTCCAAACACTTCAAATAAAGTCAGTGATAGTAAATGCAGGGCTAATTATGAAATCCAGCATAACACTGTATGACAACTCTTCAGATGACTGTTCTAGAGCCTACAGCTAATCAATCTGTCAGATTCTGGAGTGCATTACAGCTCTAAATATAATCAGGGCTCGAAAATGCGACCATTTTGGTCGCATATGCGCCCGAAATTTTATCTATGCGACCTTAAAATATATTTGGGAGCATTTCTGCGAGTGCTTAAAATGGTTGTGTGCGACCAGTTTTTACTGCAAAATGTTCACCACATGTGCAGATTCGGGAGACATTCACGCAGAATGCATCTCTAAGCTGTTTGTTTGCACTTGGAACGCGAAACGCAGCGCTCAGGAATGGTTTAAAACAGTTGTCATGTCGACTTGCTGCAGTAAACAAATCCAAGTCCGTAATGCTTGCCCCGGCTTCGCGCTCTTCTTATTGGCCCACCACTGCTCTAGCACTGAATGATTGGTTAATATCAGCTATCAATCACTCAGTCAGCCCCTTCTGGCTTCGGATGACAGAGAGCTACTACCGCGGAAAACTAAAGCGCTAAAGATGAGATTGAAGATAACGCGGACAGATTTAGTTTTAGAAACCATCTAGTTACAAATAATGACACATCTTACTAGTGATCATGTGCTGAATGTTAATCCACCATCTACACTTTTCCAAGAGTAGAAGACTTCTGTTGGCTTCAAGTCCACTATAAAAAGTCTGTGGGATGGAGTTTTCAGATAACTTTTTGCCACATCTAGCACGAGAGATGATATGTCAAATTTAACATCACGTACACCATCGCAAACGGGCTTACACTGAGTAAACTAATATCGCTACTCATGAAGAGACCAGTATTGCTATTAACATGACGTATGCATATAATAAGGTACAGTATGTGTCAAAAGCATCAGTGCAATATCAGACAGCACCCGTGAGAACAGCACAGTTATATTGTTAATGGATTCATTCATGTCAAGCAGTGCTTGCAGGGCCGGTGAGCGCTCCGTGTATCTTTTGGTCACTCAGTTATGTTATAAAAATCTATTTTCTTGTGATCACGGGATTTTGTTGAGACATATTTTCCTCACGCACGCATATTTATATATATAAATATTTTTTTTGCTTGTTAGTTTGATTAGTGTTGATTTCAAATGCAATAAATATGTTTGTATAACACTTGTAGTAACGGTGCTCATAATTCGTGGGTGCGACTAAATTTTGGCTGATGTGCCTACATTTTTAAAGTTAGGAGCACCGGTGCTACCAAGCAAAAAGGTTAATTTCGAGCCCTGATAATTATAAATGATTTTAAATAAAAAAAAAATACATTTATAGAGATGGTATGTAAGTATATAACTTCACTCACCTGGGAAATGGAGGCCACGTGAATGGTTTGTGAGCACAATTAAGTGCACACAGCATCCCATATCATCTGATAATTGAAAGAAATATATTCAAAAGGTGATTGACTGTGTAAAGTCACATGAAACAAAACAAAAATACAATTAATATGCCGAATTCAGCAGCTAATCAGCCAGAATGATGTGATGGCAACCAGAGAGATCTAGCTGTCACTCAAGTGGCCACGCCTTTAATTAGGCAGACTTAATATAGCCAAATATAAAGGAAACAGATGAGTTATAAAAAACTTCATCCCCCTCACAGTTGTCATGAAGAGTAATATTAGCTGTATGAACCAAAATCTTTTTGTACCAGGCTGTAAACAGCTTTTTTTCTGCTGTAAAGTTGGCCATTTTAACAGTGGGCTAAATAGAAATTTGCTCTATTATGGAGCCAGGACTAGCGGAATTTCAATGAATTGCCGTTTCAGTTACTTCCGTATTGGATTCACAAGGGACAGCGGGAGGTTGCCAATTGGTTTACTTGCATTTTAGAATAAATGTTTACTATCTAATAAAGTCATTGTGACATCAAAATGTACAGTGTTTACTTTGCTATCACACATTGATAGTCTTTAGGTGAACAATTAATGCATGCGAGTTAATCCACTGAAAAAAAAGCAGCTACAAAAGTCACAAATCAAGCAAGCCAGTGTCGAGGAACAAATTCACCAATTGATGAAAGTGAAGGAATATACAGTGTTTTAAAAGTAAAGCCTAATGTCTGTGGCTGGTTTTAATGTTTATAAATGTGTTTTTTCCATCAGACTCTGCCCATCATCCCTGTTGCAACGGATTGATTGCAGTTGGAATTATAATTGCAGCATTAGTAGCAGCTCTGACCGGGTAAGACCATCAGTATGAAAGTAAATCTGTGATTATCATATTGAACATCCATGAACTTGTTTTCTACTGAAAAAAACTTATAGTACTAACACATTGATTAATTTCCCAAGGTTCCATCATGTTTGTTCGATTAAATACAGATTTTTAAAGTTATATAAATATATAATTTATATAAAAAGATAGCTCCCAAATTATATTAAGTGGCCTTGACTACTATGTACTTAAATCTAAAGTACAATGTGGTGTTATATTTATTTACAATATTGTGTTCATATTGTATTGGACAACACTTCTGGTGCTATTTGAGGGAGGATATGGTTATGTTTAGAGGGTTTAACTGTAGGTTTAAGTGTGAGTTAGGGTGTGAGGAAAGAATGAACAGTGTAATTATAATGCAATTACAGATCATTTTTTAAAATACAAGTACAATGTAAAGACATGTGCATTGGACCAAATGATACATTTAAATAGAAGTGCATAGTAATTAGGCCACTGAATATAAAGTCGGACCAGATGTACTGTAATATTTTAATATATATCACCTAGTCTGTTTACCAAGTTCACATAAACCTTTTCGTTTCAGGTTTTTTGTTTGGAAAAAAACAACAGCCCAGCCGTACTGATGCATCCACTCACAAAGAGATGACTTAAATTTAATTTCAATTTATTACTTTTACGAGAATTGTATATACTTGCATTGGTTTGTTTGTTTGTTTGTTTGTTTGTTTGTTTGTTTGTTTGTTTGTTTGTTTGTTTGAGTATTTGCACTTTTATATTATGACTGTAGATATGTGTAGCTCAGTTTTCAGTTTAAGGTTTAAAGGTTCTCAGGGAAAATACTTCATTGCTCTTGGTCTTTCCCCTTGTTTTTATTAGCATTTAAGTCAGCAAATTCAGATTTAAGTCAGCTTCAACATAAGCTGCTGAAAGAATATGCTTTTGTTTATTGTAATGAATAATTTGTACTGTTCATTAAGTTAAACTTAGTTGTCCTGTTTACAACAATGTAAATTATATTATTTGTTCTGCATATTCTGCTGTTGTTCAAGTTTATATGAAAAACTTTTTTGAAACTGCAGTTGTGTGTGTGAGTGTGTGTTTGATGCTGAAGGGTTTTCTCCATAAGGAAGATCTGCTTGTTGAAACAGAGAATAGTGGCTTTACTCCACAGGAAAGGGAAAAAGGAAACAGCTCAGTTTGGTCAACGCCTAAAGACCTTTTTACTTGGTCAGTGGAGTTCACAGATACAACAGAGCTGAGCTTCACAAACAACACGTGTGCGTGTGTGTGCTTTGGGAAAGCCTCGCTCCTGTGTTTAATGGGATTGAGCATTCTGGACACTAGCGTCTGTTTCAGGAGGTTATCAGAGGTGAGTTATGAACATTATTGCTCATAATGTGTGTGTGTGTGTGTGTGTGTGTGTGTGTGTGACCTTTACGCTGGTAATGTACTGTATGAAGAGTTTTAGTGCTGTTTTCTCTCTTTATGCAGGAATCATGGAGCCGCGGCTACAGAGATTTACCGCTGTTTTGCTGCTTTTTAAAGTCTGCTGTGAGTTCTTTATGCTGTTTTGTGGCTCTCGATTGGCCAGTTGCTGAATTCTGAAAACAAATGTGATTTTTATTTCATGATTCATGATTTCAAATGTTTTTATTTAACAAAGAAATCAGAAAAAGTATCATTTTTCATGAAATCAGGTAGCTGTTAAATATATATATATATATTTTTTTTTATTTCTTATTAATTATTTGTTTAGTTATATATCATATTTATTTATATATAACAGAACTGCTATTTCAACATTTATATTAACAATAAAAAAAAGTTTCTCGAGCATAAAATAACTCCAATATTCGTCTTTATAGTTTTTTTTTTAAGTTTTTTTCTTCCATTGATTTTTCTTTCCTATTTAACCTTACCAGTTATTTGTAACCATGTAGCCTACAGTTAGATCAGCTAGTATTTAATACATACTTTATTATAAATTGAACTATTATTGGATGAGCGGGTTATCCCTGCCCACCATTACAACATGCTTCTCATGCATCACGTCAGATAAACAGCAGTCAGAGACTGACACGAATAAAGCAGAGATCCAAAAATACCAAGTAAGGTGAATATTATTCAAGCCTTTCTGCTACAATAAGTCACGCTCGAATGTCTGTTGTGTTTGTTGAAGCGTCCTTGTTTATATTTGTACTGACACTATGCAGCTGTGTTGATTCCAGTGGTTATGAATTATATTGTCTCTATTACAAACATGCTGTTTTAAAAACGTTTTAAACTTGTAAAACTCATTCTCGAGCTGTAGATGATCACGGAGAGTTGAACAGATCTTTAAACCCCAGTTTCTTTGCAAATTCTGTTCTATGTTTATATGCATTACTATGGAGACATGTTAATACGCGACTGTCAGTCAATTTGGTGGGCAGGGAAAACTGCACTGCCACGTCAGGTTGCAGTGAGCCTCAAAATCCCTGGGATTTGGATTCTATTTTAATGTCAAGATTTTTTTTCTCTATATTACAAACATGCTCTGTTTTAAAAACGTTGGAAAAGTTATTTTTGATGTGCAGCTGATCACAGAGAGTGTTTTAGCAAATCCTGTTCTGTGGATATGTTTATACACGTTGGGCTGACCTTAAACAGACCCCCTAGTTTTTCGCGATTTCCACATTATTTGTGCTTTACATGTATGGCTGGTATTGTTCATGAAATCGATAAACGATTTCGTTAAACTCTTTCCCTGCAGTTATCGAGCGATAACCAAAACACTTCTCAGCGAAGATTTTTACGGCAATCCGTGTTTTAGGTGTATCACAGTAGGGGAAGCCCTAGCGCATTTTCCGAGTACGCTACTGTACATGTCAGATGCTGAAATCTGAGAGAGAGAAAGAGTTTGTGCATAAAAATTATACAGCCTTTCTTTGGCTTAATCCCTATTGTTTTAGATCTGTTTTAGATCTTGTCTTGAGTAGAGACCATAATTAAGAAGCTTTATTTTTGTGATGTGTCGTTGTCATTGTGTCAGATTGCACACCTAACATAGTAGATTACCTAATATGGTAAATAAAATATAATATTATATTTATGTTTTAGTCGCAAAATTGTCCGCAAATGTCTGGGAATTACCGCCACAAAATCAGTAATTTTTTATTATTAAAAAATAAATAAAATTTTACACAAAAAGTGAAAAACTAGGGGGTCTGCTTAAAGAGCACCTATAATGGAAAAATCAACTTTTGTTAGCTGATTGTGATTTTGGAATTGATTTTGAGGCCCACTGCAACCTGACGTAGAAGTGCGGTATCCCCGCCCACCAAATTAATTGACAAGTGTAATGTTTCTATAATATCATGTATAAACAGAATTTATTTTAATTTTTTTTGCAAATAAACTGGGATTAAACTATCTGTTCCAACTCTCTGTGATTTTATAAGTTTAAAACATTATATATATCAGAGTGTGTTGTAATTCTTAACCGTTTCAATCACCACGGTGCATGGTGTCAGTAAACGTGTATTTGTGTGAGACTCATCATTTCATAAAGGCTTGAATAAACTCCACCACAAATACAGCAAATAAACTTACTTGGTATTTTTGACTAACTAGCTGTATTTCAGCTTCATCTGTGTCTGTCTCTATCACTGACTGCTGTTTATCTGATGTAACGCATGATGAGAAGCAGACATGCACCTTAAACTCTAAAAGATATGGATGTAGTATCCGTGACATCCCCCATAGGTTTCTGAAGAGCGCAAATTAAGCTATAAATAGGAGTGGCCAACCATCGCCACTTTGTTCGCACGTCATCGCTTCAACTGGGGGATACCAAATAAGGGCATAGAGGCGGAGCATGAGCAGAGCCACAGACGCCTGCTAGCATTTTGCTTAGACTTAATTCTTTATTACCTGCGACTCGTTTGTGTTTTGACCACATGTGCTTGGTTGTATACTATATCAATAAAGTGTTTAGTCTTTTAAAAACACTGCTGTAATACATTGAGCCACTAAGCATTGTTCTTATGACATTTTTCTACAGGAGGAAAACGCGAATACCATCCAAACACTTTAGATAGAGTCTGTGTTAGTAAATTGCAAGACTATTGATGAAGTCCAGCATAACACAGTATGACAACGCTTCAGATGACTGTTCTAGAGCCTTTTTAAAAAAAAATTAAAAAGTAAAAATAGATAATATCATATAAAAATAAAATAAAAATAAAAAACTTAAAAATTGTTAATAAAAATAATAATAAACAAAAATAAATAAAATTATATAAACAAAATAGATTTATTTAAAAACCTTTTTTAAATGATTGACTTACATTTTTTATATATATTTTATTGTTTAACCATAACATTTAATCACATAAAAACCTTTTTAAATTATTACCTAAAAGTTAAATATTTAAAAATAAATGTAACATTGTTATATCCAAATATTATATTTTTGAATGATTATCAATCTATAATAATCAATCTGGCAGATTCTGGAGTACATTACAGCTCTAAAGATAATTATAAATGATAAATTATGCTAAATAAAACAAATACATTTATAGAGATGGTGTATAAGTATACCTAGGAAATGGAGACCAAGTGAATGGTTTGTGAGCACAATTAAGTGCACGCAGCATGCCATATAGTTAATATAGTAATATAATTACTTAATATAGTTTAATATAAAAGAAACAGATGAGTTATAAAAACATTCACCCCCCTCACAGTTGTCATGAAGGGTAGTATTAGCTTTATGAACCAAAATCGTTCTTTGTAGCAGGCTGTAAACAGCTTTTTTTTCTGCTGTAGTTGGTCATTCTAACAGTGGGCTCAACTGAAATTTGCTCTATTATAGAGCCAGGACTAGCCAAATTTCCACGAATGGCAGTTTCAGTTACTTCCGTATGGGCTTCACGAGAAAGATCGAAATGGTGCCGCTTGACATGCATGTGGGAACAATGAGCGAGGAGCATTTAACAGCTACACTGTACTCAGACACCAAAATGAGCAGATTCTGGAGGCTATAATAAATAATCTGATGGTGTTTTGAGCTGAAACTTTACAGACACATACTAGAGAAACAAAAGGCTTATCTTAAATCTTGTAAAAGGGGTAAAATAGGTGCCCTTTAAAAAAAATTAGGATCTAAGTAAATCTAATTAATATTTTTTTAGCATTGTGTAATAATAATGCGTGTGTGTAATGTTGTGTGTTTTACATGTGCAGGTCTGTGGAGCGCTAAGTGTTTGTCTGTTCACTTCTCGAACCCTCAGCCTGTGTATGTGATCAGAGGTCAGCATCTGCTCCTACAGGCTCAAATCCAGCGGCTGGACACTGAACACGTGTTTAAAGTCATCTGGGAGAGAAGTGAAAAGGCTTCTGGGAAAAGATCAACGCTGGCTGAGTTTCCTCTGAAAGAGTCTGACGGACGAGTGAGTTTGGAGAATCAGGGAGCGACGCTGCGGATCAGAGATTATCAGTCAGCAGACGCCGGACTTTACACTGTTACTGTCACTGATACTGCTGGACAGAGACGATTCGCACAGACGACCGTTCAGGAATATCGTAAGATCATTCAACATCCATGCATTTTATTATAGTCTCCTTTACATTAAAATGATGATTAACATTTATTTAAAAATATTTTATATATTAAATACATATTATATTATCTAATTGTATTCATTAATTTATATTTATTATTATTCATTCAAAATATAATATTTGGATATAACAATGTTACATTTTTAAATGTTTAACTTTTAGGTAATAATTTAAAAAGGTTTTTATGTGATTAAATGTTGTGTTTAAACAATAAAAAATATCTAAAAAATTTAAGTCAATCAATTAAAAAAGGTTTTTAAATAAATTTATTTTGTTTATATAATTTTATTTATTTTAATTTATTTTATAATTTTTATTAACAATTTTTTTTATTTTTATTTTATTTTTATATGATATTATCTATTTTTACTTTTTTTACATTTTTTAATCTATTTTATTATTTTTTATTAATAATTCAGTTTTTATTTTGATATTATAATATTAACTAGCTTAATTTTAAAATATTTTAATTACATTTTATTAACATATAATTATATTAATTTGATTATTTTTATTTTGTTTAAATAATTGTATTACTATAACCAAATTTTATCTATTTACAATAATTTATTTTTAATTAAAAGGGTTTTTTAATTTTAGTTAATTATTTAAAAATGACAATAATAATAGTATCTAATTTAATTTATTTATATTTACTATTATTTTTTAATTAAACAATTTATTTAATGTTTTTAATAGTTTAAATAATAATAATAATAATATGTATTTTATTTTAAATGATATTAATATATTTTATGAATTATGTACTATTATTTTTAACATAAGTTATTTTATGCATTTTATTTCATTTATTTATTTGTTTTAATACAACTACTGATAATAATAGTAATTATTATTATCATCATTATTATTATATTTAGTTCATTTTTATATTTACTTACAATTATTTTTGATTTATTGTTATTTATTTATCCCATTTTACTTATTTAATTCAGCCTGAGCTACTAAAAACTAAGACTCAACAGACAAACTGTTTAGTTATTTTTTTATTTCGTGGGCCTTTATACAATATAATGTGAATTGTTTTAAAGCAGATTTTCACAGATAAACAAGGAAATAATAATCCATGATGAAAATTCAACTCTGTACAGTCGTATTATTCAGTCCAAACAATAGTGTCATTATTCAGCTACAGTAAATATGAGTAATTGAATTCAATATTCAGCTCTAATCATGGTAGATTATTTCAGTCATTTTTATAAACACAAAATCAACTTTTAATATGAAATACTGCAAACAAAATGTCATTAATAGTTCTCATAATGAAAGCCCTCTCATGAATTACCCATATAATAATTAAAAAATATTATATAAAAGTATAGTTAAGATTTAGTATACACTCACTGGCCACTTTATTAGGTACAACTTACTAGTACCGGGTTGGACCCCCTTTTGCCTTCAGAACTGCCTTAATCCTTCATGACACAGATTCAACAGTACTGGAAATATTCCTCAGAGATTTTGCTCCATATTGACATGATAGCATCACACAGTTGCTGCTGATTTGTCAGCTGCACATCCATGATGCGGATCTCCCATTCCACCACATCCCAAAGCTGCTCTATTGGATTGAGGTCTGGTGACTGTGGAGGCCATTTGAGTACAGTGAACTCTTTGTCATGTTCAAGAAACCAGTCTGAGATGATTGAGCTTTATGGTGTGTTATCCTGCTGGAAGTAGCCATCAGAAGATAAGTACACTGTGGTCATAAAGGTATGGACATGGTCAGCAACAATACTCAGGCAGGCTGTGGTGTTGACCTGATGCTCAATTGGTACTAATGGGCCCAAAGTGTGCCAAGAGAATCTCCCCCACACCATTACACCACCACCACCACCAGCCTGAACTGTTGATAAAAGGCAGAATGGATTCATGCTTTCATGTTGTTAATGCCAAATTCTGACCCGACCACCCGAATGTGGCAGCAAAAATGGAGACTCAGAGCAGGCAACGTTTCTCCAATCTTCTATAGTCCAGTTTTGGTGAGCCTATGTGAATTGTAGCCTCAGTTTTCCGGTTCTTAGCTGACAGGAGTGGCACCCGGTGTGGTCTTCTGCTGCTGTAGCCCATCTGCCTCAAGGTTGGACGTGTTGTGTGTTCAGAGATGCTCTTCTGCAGACCTCGGTTGTAACGAGTGCTTGTTTGAGCTACTGTTGCCTTTCTATCAGCTGGAACCAGTCTGGCCATTCTCCTCTCTCCTCCGGCATCAACAAGGCATTTGCACCCACAGCACTGCCGCTCACTGGATATTTTCTCCTTTTCGGACCATTCTCTGTAAACCCTATTGATGGTTGTGCGTGAAAATCCCAGTAGATCAGAAGTTTCTGAAATACTCAGGCCAGCCAGTCTGACACCAACAACCATGCCACGGTTACTTCCTCATTCTGATACTCGGTTTTAACTGCAGCAGAATTATCTTGACCATGTCTACATGCCTAAATGCATTGAGCTGCTGCCATTTGATTGGTTGATTAAAAATTAGCATTAACAAGCAGTTAGACGGGTGTACCTAATAAAGTGGCCAGTGAGTGTATATGGAAAAAGCAGAAGTACTGGTCATACAAATGTTTATTCTTCTAATTTATCCAGCCAAGTCAACATAAGTAAGGCTGTTCTCTCTGTGTGTGTGTGTGTGTGTGTGTGTGTTTTCAGTGGCTGTGCATCACGTGTCGGTGATGTTGAATGTGTCTCACTCTATCCTGCACTGTATGGAGTCGTGGGGAACCGAGCCGTCCTACACGTGGCTTCATGACAGTGTTCCGCTGACGGAGAAACTGGGTCGTGTTTCCAGTGATGGAGCGTCTCTGCAGGTCTCGGGCAGCTTCTGTGGACGCTTCACCTGCGTGGTGAGCAACAGACTGGGCCACAGTTCAGCCTCATACACCGCAGGTACGGCAACACACATTTAGCCTGCACTGTGCCGCAGATAAAGCATCAAATATTAGTTATGAAAAATCATACATACAGGAAGTACAGTTGAAGTCAATGTTTGATTTTTTTTTTTCCTAATACTCACCGGCCACTTTATTAGGTAGACCTTATGCCAAGTTCAGACCGTGATTTTATCCCCGATTTTGACTAGCCGACAGATTTTGAGAAATCGCCGACAAATGCCTGAAATCACAGGCAAATCAGTGCTCGTGACAATCACACAGTATAAACTATCAAAGAGGCGATCTGAGAGAATCACAGATGAGTCGCTGATGACTGGGAGATATTTGGCGTGCTGAATATCTGAGGCTGTCGGTGATTCAAATCATGCCGTGTGAAATTAGTTTTGACTGAAAATAACATCGGTGATTGCCAACAGCCAATAAGAGAGCAGCATCCACTTGTGTGTGTACCTGCAGGCCAGCGGGAGGCTGGGGGAGAAGTTCAAAGCGCTCATTTACAGTTTATTAGGACCCTAGAAATGAAGGAAAACTAGTCAAGGTTTGACAGCAGCACACGTGTCTGTTTGACGTTTTATACAGAAAGTTAAAAAGAAAGTTTAGGAGAAATTGCTCATTCCCTTCAACCCCAGGTGAGCAAATATGCACATTTTCGACCCCATTAAAGGCTTCTTTCTCATTATGTAGTTAATAACAAAAGATATACACGTGTTTTTGGCTGTGAGACGTAGTTTGGACGAAGTTGTCGGCGATTCTTTCTATTGTAAAGTCATGAAATGTGAATGTCCATGTCGCAGATCCATCTTGCAGTGTAAACAAAGCAGCGACAAAACGCTAGCCAAGATAGTCATGCAGTGTGAAAACATCCCGTGACATGACTACTTTGTAAATCATGCAGTCTGAACTCGGCATTACTAGTACCGGGTTGGACCTCAACCAGTCTGGCCATTCTACTCTGAACTTTGGCATTAACAAGGCATTTGCGCCCACAGAACTGCCGCTCACTGGATATTTTCTCTTTTTCAGGCCATTCTCTGTAAACCCTAGAGATGGTTGTGCGTGAAAATCCCAGTAGATCAACAGTTTCTGAAAAACTCAGACCAGCCCGTCTGGCACTAAGAACCATGTCATGTTTAAAGTCACTTAAATCCCCTTTCTTCCCCATTCTGATGCTCGGTTTTAACTGCAGCAGATCGTCTTGACCATGTCTACATGCATTAAGTTGCTGCCATGTGATTGGCTGATTAAAAATTTGCTTTAACGAGCAGTTGGACAGGTGTACCTAATAAAGTGGCCGGTGAGTATATATATTTATTTATATATATATATTCCAAGTCTTGTTTGATGGAGTGAGGAATTTATTTTAGTTTATTTCCTATTTTTATATTTCCTATTTCTGTTAATCAGTATATTTGCTGTTGTTATATTTGCTTCAATTGTCTACAGAACAAATCACTGTTATACAATGACTTGTGTGGGTTTATGGGTTGCATAATTAACTAAACTTGCCTGGTTATCCTAATTGAATAGTAGCAACTTACAAAATAACTTTATATACATAATAGTAAAATGAATGCACTAAATAGCACTCAAAAATATATACGTCTATAATTTTTCTCACAGCAAGGCTGATGGCCCTTTCACACGGGGCGTCAGCGTCAATGCTTCCCATTTACTTTGAATAGGTGACATCAAGCATTGCTGAACTGAATTATGGGTCTGTCATTACCGATTCAGTGGCGTCGCTCACTGCAGAAGTTGGGAATTCCTCAACTTTTCAAGCACCAACAGAAGCATCAGCCAATCAGATCGCAGTATACACATTCCCCAGCTCAGACAGTAGCCGATTGAGGACTTCATTGGCTGACACTGCTATGACGATCATCCTCAGTCAAGCGTTGACGCTGAAGCCCCGTGTGAATCGGGTGTAATAATTTGGACTTCAGCTGTGTGTGCATACAGAGGCTGGATAATGAAACTGAAAGTCCTGGTTTTACTAGTTTGATGTACGGCCTCCTTTTGTGGCCAGTACAGCATCAGTTGGTCTTGGGAATGACAGATTCAAGTCCTGCACAGCGGCCAGAGGGATTTTGAAGCATTCTTCTTGCAGGATAGTGGCCAGGTCACTACATGATGCTGGTGGAGGAAAACATTTCCTGACTCGCTCCTCCAAAACACCCGTGACTCAATAATATTAGGTTCAGGATACTGTGCAGCCCATGGGAGATGTTCAACTTCACATACAAGTTCATTAAACCACTCTGCCGGCAGTCTTGCTGTGTGTGTTGGTGCATTATCATCCTGATACATGGCAGCGCCTTCAGGATACAATGTTTGACCCATTGGGTCACATGATCCTCCAGTAGTCTTTAGCAGTGACTACTCATCTAGAACGAGTACTAGGCTGAGGGAATGCCATGATATTGCAGCCGAAACCATCACTGATGCACCGCCATGCTTCACTCTGGGCATCATCAGTCTGGGTGGGACGCTTCTTTGGGGCTTCTCCACACTGTAACTCCCCCAGATGTGGGAAAGACAACGAAGGTGGACTCAGAGAACAATACATGCTTCACATTGTCCACAGCCCAAGAGTTTTGCTGCTGGCACCATGGAAATGGATGTTTGGTATTGGCACAAGTGACCAAAGGTTTGGCTGTAGCAGCCCGGTCATGTGTATTGAACTCTATAATGTTGTGTGCATTTCATATTTGCATTTACACATGCACCAAATGTGTATTTAAGAGAAATGCACCACCTGTTGAGCTGATAAATGACCCAAAATGTTAAATGCAGTGTGTGTGTGTGTGTGTGTGTTTTAGAGCCGTGTGATAATTCAAACCGGAGTACGACGACTGCTATTGTGCTTCTGCTGCACTTGCTGACCGTAGTAGCTGCATCTCTGGCCTTTATACTGTGGAGGTGTGTTACCATCTGCATCACTGTCATTGTTTGTGTTCACTTTTTGAGTCTAGCTTTATTTCTTAAATATTTCAATGTAAATTTTTCGTTTTGAAGATCGCTACATGCAAACCAACTGAAAAAAATAATAAATAAATTAAAAATTTAATAATTATATTTAAATATTTTAAATATAGTTATAAATTCTGTGAGGTAATACAGACTATAAACTATAAATAAGCTGTTACATATATTATTATGCATCATAATTATATTTTAAAATTAATAATAATTATAGATATAAATTCTGTCAGGTAATACAGACTAAAAACTACAAATAAATACATATATTAATGTTCATCATAATTATATGTTAATATTATGAATATATAGTTATGAATAGTCTGGTAATAGAGATGATTCATTTTCAAAAGTTTACATATATTAATATTCATCAATTATATTTTAGTGTTAATAATAATTATAGTTATAAATTCTGTCAGGTAATACAGATTATTAATAAATGGTTGGGTATATTATTCACATTAAATATTTTACATTTATAAATAAATATAGTAATAAATTCTGTCACATTATTATTAATTATAAACAGAATTGTCATAATATAAATTCAGAACTAATAAGTGCAGCTCTCTTTATCTCATCATACATTTTTATTACATTTTTTAATTAATTTTGTTTCAATATATTCATATTTTTTATCTGCCAGTATAGTTGTACTACAATACATATTTAATAATCCATACAATAAACACAACTCCGTTTCAGCGTTGCTCTGTTTCTGGATTTCGGTTTTGATCAGTTTTCTGGTATCTTCTGTCTACTTCAGGAGACGCAGACATGGAGCGAACAGACCACAGAGACTGAGAGAACCCTATGAAGAGCACCTGTGAGCCTCGCGCTGATCTCAGACCTGCCAATCTGACGAAAATAACACCACTAATCAACCGTTTCTGTGTATTATTGCACATTTCTAGAAGATATTTATAATATTAGTGTATTTATATAGCACATCAGGGGGTTTAGCTAATACATTGCATTCTCAAACACTAGATTCTGATTGGTCGGATGTGACATTCTGGTGTTAATATGATCATCAACAAACTCAGTGTTTTTTGTTATTATTAAAATTACAGCATTTTTGTTATTATTTACATTAAAAATGTAAAATCGGAAATCTTTTCAATTTATTAGTAAGTAAATACACAGATATTTACAGTGTTTTTTATTTTCGGAGCCTAATTTTGCCTTGTGAGTTCAAGTTTGTGCCCATAATTCTTGCACTGTTGTTGATCCTAAAATATTCTAATAGTAAATGATAAATAATCTGGATCGGAGAGAAGTGAGGAGGCTGAAAGCTGGCCCAGTTTCTCCTTGATCTGACATTACAGATGAGGAAAGTGAGGGTCTTCTGGACGGTAATCAGTCTAAACCACATCTGCATCACATTTGCATAATGAGCTCTTTTGTATTCCATAATTATGAGGTCAAAATTCCACAAGTTCACAAATGGGAAAGACGTGGAAAGAATCACAAGGAGTGAGTTTACATCTCGCAAATCTGATTTTACTGCTCTGAATTCTGAGTTTCTGTCCTCAATTTATGACTTACACTCACCGGCCACTTTATTAGGTACACCTTACTAGTACTAGGTTGACCACTTTTGCCTTCAGAACTGCCTTAATCCTTCAAGGCATAGATTCAACAAAGGTACCGGAAATATTCCTCAGAGATATTGCTCCATATTGACATGATAGCATCACGCAGTTGTCCATGATGTGAATCTCCGGTTCCACCGCATCCTAATGGTGCTCTATTGGATTGATGTCTGGTGACTGTGGAGGCCATTTGAGAACAGTGAACTCATTGTCATGTTCAAGAAACCAGTCTGAGATGATTCACGCTTTATGACATGGTGCGTTATCCTGCTGGAAGTAGCCATCAGAAGATGAGTACACTGTGGTCATAGAGGGATGGACATGGTCAGCAACAATACTCAGGCAGGCTGTGGCGTTGACACGATACTCAATTGGTACTAATGGGCCCAAAGTGTGCCAAGAAAATATCCCCCACACCATTACACCACCAGCACCAGCCTGAACCGCTGATACAAGGCAGAATGGATCCATACTTCATGTTGTTGATACCAAATTCTGATCTCATCATCTGAATGTTGCAGCAGAAATGGAGACTCATCAGAGCAGACAACGTTTCTTCAATCTTCTATCGTCCAGTTTTGGTGAGTCTGTGTGAATTGTAGCCTCAGTTTCCTGTTCTTAGCTGACAGGAGCGGCACCCGGTGTGGTCTTCTGCTGCTGTAGCCCATCCGCCTCAAGGTTGGACGTGTTGTGTGTTCAGAGATGCTCTTCTGCAGACCTCAGTTGTAACGAGTGCTTGTTTGAGTTACTGTTGCCTTTCTATCAGCTGGAACCAGTCTGGCCATTCTCCTCTCTCCTCTGGCATCAACAAGGCATTTTCGTCCACAGAACTGCCGCTCACTGGATAATTTCTCCTTTTCAGACCATTCTCTGTAATCCCTAAAAAGGGTTGTGCATAAAAATCCCAGTAGATCAGCAGTTTCACCAGTTGTTGGCACCAACAACCATGCCATGTTTAAAGACACTTAAATGACTGAGGGTGCTTTCACACCTACACTTCTGTTTCGGAACGCATCTCGTTTGCCCAGTTAGCGCGGTTCGATTGGCATATGTGAACAGGGCAATCGCGCTCTGTTCCGCCCCAAAGTAATCGCTCCGAGATCGCTTGAATGAGGTGGTCTCGGCTCGATTGAAACAAACCCTGGAGCGGTTCGATTGCAGTGAGAAAGCGATCCGATCCGAGCGCGGTTATATCACTGTGTTTTATGGATATGTAATAGGCTTACGGCTATATGAAGAGAGAATTATGAGTATGGCGGGAAGTTTCGCGAGTCTCCGGATGCCCGCAAACGAGTGATGATCTCCCGGTAATCTCGCGTCTCCCTCCCGGTCCTCAAATAGGCATGGTCGCGCACCCTTCTCACCCCTCCCCACCGCATCTCTCCTCAGACACGTCACGCGCGCACACCCTGTCAATCACCACCAAACCACCACCTCTCCTGACAGCTGCTGGGACGCTGCAAAATAAACCCTGACACTCTGACCAATGTGTGGAGAGTTTACTCGCACGTGACTCGTTTTAGCTCTTTTGGTCCGATTAGAAACTTTGCAGTGTGAAAGCGAACCGCTCCAAGAGCAAAGAGCAACAATGTAACAATTGTATCCTCTGTTTCGGAACAACTGAATCAATTCACATGTGTGAAAGCACCCTTAAATCAGGATGAACTGCAGCAGATCGTTTTTAGTGGCGTCTTCAATAATTGAAAATCCGGCAACAGCAATAATCAAACTCTTGGGAACAACTGTGGTCAGAACCAAAGTTCACATGTCTGTGTTCTCTGAACTCCTCTCAAGCAGTGGACTACTTAATTCTGATTGCTTGCCGCCAACGTTGCCAACTTAGCGATTTTTTTACTAGATTTAGCGACTTTTCAGACACCCCCAGCGACAAATCTAGCCACTTTTTGTGTGTTATTGGAGATTTTTTTTTTAGACTGTCATTTGTCTATACTGTACCGTCCCTACTCTTCTCAACGAGCAGCGTGTGATGCCGCCGGCCCCTCCCCCTCCTCACAGCACTGACAGGCGGCCCAGTCAGTCCTCTAGAGCAGCCTCTCCCACCTGCAGCCCGAGAGCAGATCACCCCTCTGCGTACCGACGACAAATGATTTAGCACAGGCAGTGTGAAGGTATTTCCCTTGTACAGTCCAACCGATCTGCTTCTCCTTTATTTTAACAATTTAATTGGACCAATTCTTTTCTTGTTCACAATCTCAGATATTTTAGTGACAGTTTCTGAACTTGCCTGAGTTTATTACATATGAGAGATTACTGCACATTCACTACACATCTATAATGACATACTGTATTCAAACAGCAATACATTTAGTTAAATAAACATGCATATATAAAGTGTAGTGCAATTATAAATACCCCTTTAGTAACCATAGGCTGTTAAACAGAAACGGTAGAACGTGATGACGTCAGTGATATGCAAAATGACGTATAGAATTACATTCAAACTTTTGGTGACAAAAATACATCTATTTCTGCGTTTATTATATCTCTCGTCCTTGTCCTACATCCAGCATGTCGTTAATCTTACCTTGGTTTATGTTCAAGTCAGTGCACGTTTCTTTTCTCATTCCACAATAGCTTATATTGCCAACATAAACAGCGTAAAATGTCAAGGAGTCCCGGAGGAGCGTTAATCTAGCCTTGATATTCTTCCAGAGGGAGAAAAGCTCCTCCAAGCACCGCTGGAAATTTGCACGCAGCGGCGGTATAGAACTGGAATCCCCGACTTCCCGCCATCTTTCAAGCCGAAGAACTGCAGCCTTACGCGGGGTGAGAGGTGAGATCATGCCGCGGCCGAGCTCCATCTGTCACGGAGAACACAGAGACTCGACACGGATAAAGATGATCAGATATTAGTAACAGACGAAAAATTACTACTGAATGAATGAATAAAGCTCTGGGTCACTTCATCCATCACTGAGACAGCAGTTTTAGATCCACTTAAACCTGCAGACTGTATCTTCAGTGATTTATGCATCAGTATAGTTCATAATGATGGACTCTCATTTCATAATATGGGCTCGTATTGTTAGGGTTGTTCTTGTCATCTAAAATAGTCATCATTTTTGATAAGGTGGCATTGCAATAAAAAGTAAATGATGGAAAGCTGCATCACATGGGGCGAAGAGTTTTTACCTTTCTGTTTTATGTCAAACTACTGATTAAATCATCATGTAAGTTGGAAAACCAAAATGAGAAATGTTGCCAAACTGAAATAAAACACATTCAAGTGACTAAAATTAAAAAAAAAAAAGCTAAATAATAATAAATAAAAATAAAAACTAAAATATAAAAACATCCCACATGGAAAGAACATATGAGGATATATGTGCATATGAAACCTATATGCAGTATATATGCACCTATAAGATAATACATACACTGCTTATATGCATTTACAGTTGAAAGCAGAAGTGTACATACACTATAAAAAGGCACATAACTATTAAAAAAAAAAAAAGCACATAACTATTAAAAAAAAGTCAGATGTTAATGTGACTAAACTTTTTCTCTTTTAGGTAAGTTAGGATTACCACATATGTTTCTGTTGTGCTTAATAGCAGAATAATGAGAGAGATTTTTTGAGAAATTGTTATAACTTTTCTTGAAAGTCAATTTTACCTACAATAAGATTATTCTGCCTCTGGAAAAGCTCAGAAGATGATGTAAAGCTTTTGGAAGATTCTGATTGGCTAATTGACAACATTTGGGTTAATTGGAGGCACAACTGTAGAATAGTATTTAAGGAAAACCTCAAACACACTGCTTCCTTGTGTGACAACAAGGGAAAATCAACAAGCCAGAATCAACAACAAAGCCAGATTACAATTTGATAAATTACACATTGGGAAAGGAATAATGTTTGGAGACATGTCCTGTGGTCTGATGGAATTGGACTATTTGGCCATAATGATCAGTGTTACATTTGGAGGACAAAGGGGAAAGCTTACAAGCCTAGAAACACCATTCTAACTGTGAAATATGGGGCGGCAGCATCATGTTGTGGGGCTGTTTTGCTGCAGGAGGGACTGGTCCACTTCACAGCATAGATGGCATCATGAAGAAAGAACATTATGTAGAAATACTGAAGCAACATCTCAAGACATCAGCCAGGAAATTAAAACTTGGCCACAAATGGGTCTTCCAAACAGACCATGACCCTAAGCACACTGCCAAATTAGTTAAAATGTGCTTTAAGCACAACAGAGTGAATGTTTTGGAGTGGCCACCACAAAGCCCTGAACTCAATCCTATAGAAAATTTGTGGGCAGAGTTGAAAAAGCTTGTGCGAGCAAGACAGCCAACAAATCTGACTCAGTTACACCAATTCTGTCAGGAGTAATGAGCCAAAATTACTTCAAACTATTGTGAGAAGCTTGTGGAAGGAGGCCTGAAACATTTGACCAAAGTTATACAGTTTAAAAGCAAAGCTAAAAAAATACCAAGGAAATGTGTGTAAACTTTTGACTATTTAGAAATGATAAAAAAAATTATCAAAAAAAATGTCTCTCATTATTCTGCCATTTAGCAAATGTAAATCATTCA